CAAGTCAAAATGTCATTCCGTCACATATGGAATTGCCCTAAGAGAAAAACATAGTAGGTAATATTGGCGTTAAAGAAAACAAAGCGATATTTTTTTAAAATTCGCCAAGAACACCTTACTGAAATTTAGAACATTTAGAAATAAGCTGATTTCTTATTATAATTTCTTTTAAAAATATATTTTATTAATAATATTTTTAACTAAGCAAAAAAATTTTTTTAATGAAACAAAGTATTGTATTTAAAAAGTTAATAAGTATATATTTTTTATTAAATACAATTAAAAAAATACTTTGCACATAGATACTCTGCTTTAGATACTTATTTTTCCATGTTTTTTTTTTTAATTTATTTTTGCAGGTTATTATTTTATAAGTGAAACTTCTAATGCGACATCCAACAAGGTTGTGTTAAACGTTTAACGCTACCATGGAGGGGGTATGAAAGCACTGTTGCGTTAAACGTTCAACGCTCCTGGGGAGGGGGAATAGCAGAGACAGAGCGAGAATGAATGCGTGGCACTCGAACGCATGCGCGTAGAAAATGATAATTTAAAGATGCGATCAATTGTGAATTGTAAGCAATGTTAATAAAGTCTGTCTTAAAGAAACAAAATGATTTCACTAAAAACAATTTCTACCCCTTCCTATTTTCATTTCCACATTACGAAGTTTCACTTCTTCTGCACGGAGGGACTCCACGCACTATTTTTTTTTATTTTATTCGGAAACGCGAGATGAGAATTACTAATGCTTGTCGTTTTCATAATTTATTCATTACATTGTTGTTAGAAATATTATATTTTATTTTAAAAGATGCCATTTATTTTTAATGGTATTTTATTAGAAATAATTTCTTAAAGTAACCGAAAGATTAAATAAATTATAGATTGTATCTAAATATAATCTGAGGTTTCAATACTCATCATTAGCAAAAAAAAGTACTAACTCGTGGATCCACTGTAGCTTTTCCGAGGTACCATAAGGTTCCGTGGAACATCATTTTGGAACCTCTGTCTTAGACATTGGACTTTAGGGTGCTGAAGCTGAGTGTTACAGTTAGGTGGTTAGTCGTCTGTGGCTGTAAGAAGTACTCACTAGCAAAATTCCTGCAATTCTTTATAGAACCCTAGGGTTCCGTGGAACACCGTTTGAAATCTGCTGCTCTAGGTAATACTAATAATTTTTATAGTTTTAATGCCTTTCTATTTTTATTATATTTGTAAAAAGACACAATTTTATTAAAAATATTATCGATAATTAATAATAAGGATATTCTGGATATTAGTAAAAACTTAAACGGTAAATTCCCAAATGATAACGTCAAAAATTCAGAATGCATGACACAAAATAAATTAATAAATAATTTAAATTACGTTTTCAATTTGAGAAAAAAACATCTTTAAACCTGGAGTCAAGTAATTTCTTTTATGGAGTCAAGTAATTTTATGGAGTTAAGTAATTTCTTAAATTCTGATATATTTTATTAGAAGTATCTTTATTAATATTTAGGATCTTACAGCATTATCATTATGAATAATAATTCTTTTTATGTGAGGGCAAACATCAGCTATTTGAAAGCTTCTCTCTAGTTAAATTACAAATTTAGTATTCCAAAAGATTTTGCTGAAAGGCAGTTTCAGGGAAAAAATTTTAATTCTGTAATTGCACGTTCGTAAATGTTTCTTTTATTTCACAAAAGAACTTAAAATAATTTTTCATTCAAAAAACAGTGTTATAAAAATAGAGTTATGCAAAAATACACATTAATTGAAACTTTATTAAAAATAGCTTTAACTATAATACCCATCGTAAAATTCATTCATTTGTCAATAATATCCTATTTAATTACTATATTTTCAAAAAAAAAAAAAAAACACTTTTGTTCTTAAATGAGAATTAAAATTCATCCATAATTTTTAAATCTTGAGAAAATAGTAAAACACAAAAACTAAACTGGCTTTATACTTGCGAAGCATTTTTATACTATTTATTATATTTCTCTCTTTTGACAATTTGCTCCTTTTGGGATAAGCTGTGAAAACAACAGTTTTTAGTACATTTAAAATATATTGGACTGGCTGGAATTACGAAAGGCATAATATTGGATAATAAAACTAAGTAAATGGCAGAAGAAAAAAAAATTCAATGACTGTGTTTGTCGCGCATATAAAGTTGTCTGATATTCAAGTTATGAAATTTCACTTATATAGTTTGTCTATAGAAAGAACTCCCTACTCCATGAAGTCTAAGGCAGTCTGCTGCTATGGAAACAAGAAATAGTGCATTTTAAAGAGGGGAGCATCTTTCTTCCTTGATTCTCTTTCTCTTGCCAGCCCGACTCAAAAACTGTCTTAAATAATGACCCAACTTATGCATGAAATAGTTGAACTATAGTCACCGCCACCATTCCAGACGAATGTCTGGAGAGTTTTTGACAAATACAAACTATACATTGTCCGCTGGACATGCGCAATATCAAGCTCCATCTACATCTGGAAAATCCTCATATATTTGAGGGTGAATGGGTAAAGGCATTGATGATTGATTATATTTAAAACTAAACACCCCCTACATTACCTGAACACCAACTTCTTATCTTCAATACATAAAAATTTGAAACATTCTAATGCTTATAAGGTGTCAAAGCCTTTGTAAGTATTCGCGATAGCAACGCTCGATTGCGCCATCTGGAGAGAATACCGGTTCCATGCTTTTTACTCTTCTCTTTTCCCTCTCCTCCTCTTTTCAATTACGTAGGAATGTGTATACTACGATTTTTTTTTTCTTTTTCTTATTATTTTTCGTATTTAATCATTAAAAGTATTATTTTTTTAATTTCTATTTCTCTTTCTTTTAAAATCACGACATTTTTGATAGCCATCAAATCTTGAGAAACTAATTTTTGACATGCTAAAATTGCGACAAAATTATTTATTTCCTCGAAATAAGTTTTAACTTAAATATTTTTCACAAAATTTCAAAACACCACTCCAACGAAGAAAATCTGTAATTTAGACAGTCGTTATTTTTATACTAATTTTTGTTTCTTTTCAGGTGCCTTTTTATTATATGTCAAGAAAAGAGAGACTCCTGCAGCACTTGAAAGACACCAAGAGTAGTAACAATGCCTGGGAGTTTTGTGAATTGCTTGACTCTATGAATAAACTTAAATCGGATACTGATACGAATAAAAAATCTTTAAATAGTGATTTAATTATGAATCGTCTTAAAGACATAATTCATACTGAAAAACCTGAATATAACATAAATAAATTTATCTTGATGTCCCTAGGGAATAGAACTCATCACTTAAAAGAAACTGAGTTTATATCTCGATTTCTTTTGGATATTGATAATTTTGACTGTGGAAAACAGAATTCAGAAGAATATTTAATGCATTTCATACAAGAATTCGAACGTCTTATTAATTTGTATGTTTCTAGTCTTAGATATTATGGTAATAATATGCGTTACAGAAAAGACTTCAATGCTTTGAAAGAAATTTCTACTACTTTAATGGGTATTACAACGAGCTGTACAAGAGACCTTCTAAGAGCATTACTCCATAAATACCAATATCATTTCTTGGACGAAGAGAAGAAAAAAATTGGATTTTTGATGGTAGAGGCTATTACACCTATTGAAAAATTTGTATATAGAAGCGGTAGTATTGAAACGTACAGTAAGATAAAAAGTTTTTTGTTGTTACAAAGATCCTCCCTTCAGTATTTCAGAGATTTTTTTGATTCATTTCCTGTTGATGAAACTCTATTTAAACGTTTTGATATGAACAGGATAGATTTGTGCATCGAGGAATTAGATAGGAATATTGATATTATGTGTGAAGATGCTGAAATTTGGGCTTCTCTGGATGATGATGAGGAGGATGAGGAGTTTTATATCGAAGATTACGAAGAGCATGATGACCTCAAAGAGGATGGCGCATCTACAATGCCTGAATCGCATGTGTGGTGGGCTAAGTGTTCTCAAACCCTAAATAGTTTAAGGATTAATCAATTTCTTAATCAACTTTGTTATTTCTCTTGAGCTGTAATATGACATTCTAATAAAAAGAAATTTCTGTATGTAACAATACTCTGGATATTGAACTTTTTTGTTGTTGTTATGAATATAGGGCTGCCATTGGCTACTAAATCGACTATTTTAAAGCAATACCAATTAGCGCGACTATTTTAGTGGAAATATGAGTAAAAACAAATAATTTACAATGAGTTGCGCAAACTCGGTGCCTTTTTTTTTTAGCCAATTAGCGACTAAAATGAAGAATAGCTTCATGAGTTTCTCCCTTTCCCCACTATTTTTTTTTTTTTTGCAGCGCTTTCGTTTCATCCAAACTTTATTCTTCCTCGGTCAAAAACAAGACAGACATGTTTTACGAATCAGACTAATGGAATTGAATTGCTCCTCCTGCTTCAGGAAGCTAATGTAATATCTCTGTGGATTACGTTTTGTTCCCCTCTTTTAATTTAAACGAAGAGGCAAAATTAAAACAAATTGTCTTTAAATACACAAGATGTGTAGTTAGTTTTTTTAGAGCGATTTAGAATAGAAAAAAAAGGCACATGGTGATATATATATGGGTGATTCTTACGAAATATGACAATTCACTGTCCCTTGCTCCAAGATCTAATACTATAATACTAAAAGAACTTTTTTTTAAAATTATTAATAAATAGCATTGCTGTTACCATTTTAAAATGACTTTGCACTAGCATTGACTGTTTTGTATAGTTAAACAATTTAATTGAACTTCAAAATTTCATGTTTTTGTTACGTCCCAAACAATGTCTCCAATAATAACTAGCTTCAAAACTTCCCATAAATTTTTCAATATCTAATTTTTTTTTATCTCAACCGGTGTAAACATTTCTAGAATATACGCAGAGGGTATTATTTACAAAAACTTCGTTTAAGATAATTTTTTCTGTCAATAATTTATTTGCCCAAGAAAATCTGTCATTTTCCTGGCTACTTTTATTTAGTGATTTATTACCAAAATAGCTAGCGCAGCATGTCCTCGTTTGGATTTTGTGCCACTAAACCCTACATTCAATCAATCAAACCAAAATAGCCTATGCGTTAAATTTATTTCATTATTTATTTTTCTAAGTAATATTTTCTTTTTAAATCGCTCGTATAAATAATACATTTTATAATCTTTGATAATAAATATGATATCAGCAGGAATGGTATCAGGATTTCTGTCACCTTCTTCTTTAAATGTTATCTTAGTTCCGGCTTTCCAATCAGGTTTGACATTAATGGTCAAAACCTTATTTTCTCTTCTAGTTACTCCATGATTAACAAAATTTCTCTCTATTCTCATTTTCTTTGTGCAGCCTATCAAAACATCTTCTAATGACACTAAGAGGTCGTGATAAATAGGCGGGTTCTTTACAGGAGGTTCTTTTCTTTTAGGTTTTGCTCGTGGGCATCTAGTTGATTGAGCTCGTTGAAAATGCCTGTAGTTAGGTTTCTCAAACATATTTCCATTGGCTCCAAAAAACAAATTAAAACCTGAAATATGAACACAATTTAAAAATAATGTAAAAATACACTTAAATAATATAAAAATAAAAGAGAGCATTAAGGTTATTCTAATATTATGCAAGTCTGGCAATTTTACACCTTGTCAGCAGAATCAAGCAAATCACAAACTTTCCTTAGTACGCTTAGGTAAGAACCTTCTCTAAAACACCTTCTCTTTTTGCTTTAATTTTGACATTCATTAATAATTTGTGTCTTCTATTTGTGGTCAAAATGCTCGGTCTTTGACTTGTTTCTAACTGTTCCTTACCTCAATTGAGAAATTTCTGAGTCTGATTTTTTTCAAATTTTTTTTCTTTAAATTAAAAAAATTGAAAATATGCAATGCAGATTTTAGTCAGGGTAGTAAGTGACCAGAGTTTTTTCTAAAATAATAATAATAATAATAAAAAACTACTGGACTCTACTTTTCAAGATTTATTTGGGTTTTTTTTTAAAATTATTTACAGTCTTAGAGTAAGTCTTGCTGTATTAATAAATACCATTAATATAATTGTGTTAATTTAGCTCTATATTTTTATATATATACATATAAAGCATTTTCAATAACAAGACTCGTGGGTCTGATAATTTAAAATATATTTTTATAAAAAGTTTTCTCATTTTTTTGAATGGTTCACTATCAGTTTTCAATAAATTACCGGTTGTTAAATGAAGCGCTATTTGAAAATTTTAACCACAGTAAGTGAATCTCTAGTAAGTACAAAAAAAAATTTACACTAATAATAGAACAAATAATAATTAAAGAACTGTAACAAAAATGATTATCTTGCACATTGTAGAAAAACTCCCAAAATTCACTTTTGATATTTACGTCCAACAACAAAATACATATTTAATTGAACTGTGCCAGTAGGATTTAATAAATTAAATTATTTTTTCTGCTTAAAGCAAGATTCTAAGCCTTATTTGTATAGTCTATTTTGATTTAGAAAATAATGAATATTTTTATTGTAAATTAATTATTTCTTAGTCCGGCACCACTCCTTTTCTTTCATTATATTTTTCATCTATTATGTCGATTTTTCTTAATAAAATAAAGTGAAAAACGAACAGAAACTATCTAAATAATCTTTAAGGTTAATTTAGAATAATGCAGTTTACCTCAGTAACCTAATAAAATCCACTTAATTATGCTGTACTTAATTATGTATGTATATATATTAGGATTTAAAATTGATCAATGAAGTTTGTTTATATATCTTCTATTTTCTTTCCTTCTTCTCTTTTTTTTCTTTCAGGTAAGCAAAGCAATTTGAATTTTTTGAGAAATATTTAACTTCATTTAGAAACGTTTAAATTAATTATTTTGTTTAGAAGAACTTGAAAAGGGTATGTATTTGGAGCAAAACTATTTTAGAACATTTTGTAGCAATTTATTTTTTAAATTTTTTGTTTTCTTTTTTTGAGGAAAGCAACTTAGGTACATATTCAGAAAAATGTTTTTGAGTTTAAGCACATGCTTATACTTTGGTTAGCAAAAATGTTTGCTAATTTATTTGCCATATGCATTCAAATGTAAAATACCAAACCTTACTAAAACAGACAAAGGCATAGTTATGGCTAACAACACTGGGGACAAGATCAGCTTTTGCACGCCCTGATATACACGCACAAACACATATATATAAATATATAATAATTCGATTAATGAAATGTAATAAGCTATTAATCAAAGAATGAAACTGATTTTTCAGAAAGAGGCAAAATAAGATTTAAAATAATGAGTCAAAATGGAAAAGTGCTCAAAGCAGCAAAAACCAAATTTGTTTTAAATTTAACAATTTAGAAAGCTAGACACACAAATCAAGCAAAAAAAAAATTCTAAAGATAAGTACGTTAGCAAAAACAGCACTTCTTCAGGGGACACACTGTCTGCTAACACACAGGAGCTTTTCTGTCCTCAGTGGTAATACCAAAAACTGACTGTGCCCTGAGGCCCCATAATGGATAAACTAAATATAAAAAAAAGCAATTAAAAATTCAAAAATTGAAATGAAAATGCAATGAAAAATTAACGAAACACTAACACAAGTCAATTGTACACGGAGAAAAAAGTAATAGTGAAATTCCCACATGTAATAAGCAAAGTTACTAATCGTATTAGAAAAAAAGTAAAAATAAGCAATATTGTAAGCAACAAAGTATAATTGCTCAAAACAATACATGAAAAACAAACAACTGGAAATACAAATATATCAAGTGATGCATGAAATAAATTACACTTACTGGGATTAAAATCAGCTCTGAATTGAAGAAACTCTGAGTAGGTGAAATGATCAAAATTTTGCTTGTTTTGAAAAGGTGCTGGACTATCGCCATACTTATCATACTTTTCTCGTTTCGTTTTGTCACCCAAAACTTCATAAGCTTCAGAAATGTCTTTAAACTTAGATTCAGCTTCAGGAGACTTGTTTTTGTCAGGATGGTACTTTAAGGCCAGCTTTCGATATGCCTTTTTAATGTCATCATCAGTGGCCTTTTCTGACACACCTAATACATCATAGAATTTTTTTCCCATCACAAAAGTAACTTCACCTAAAAAGCATTATAATTTTATATATAAATAATTATAATTTTATATACATTATATAATATAAATAAAATGCAAAATACTGCATTTTTACAAACATTATAAAGAAAGAGAAATCAAATGAATCTTGAAAGGAAATATACTTACATTAAATAAATTTTAATTATGTATTTGATAAATACTGGTCATGTTTACATCATTTTTTAGATTAGTTATTAGCTATAAAAGCAATAGTAGAGATTTTTAATATTTTTATATAAAAACGAAATAGTAAAACCTGAAGAAAAGTTTTTAAAATGACTTTCTTTTGATTACCTATGCATTTTATCAATAAATGAAATCAAAGATTGACAACTTGTCAAATATTTTTAATTCCTGCTTTAACTTACTAAACTATTATATTCTTTTCTCTATGTATCTATAATATTTTGTAATTTTTATAAACAATTTTTACAAATAAAAATTAGTAACTCCTTAAAATTTAGATTAAAGTTGGATTATATTAATTGAATTTTATTTCAAATGATTCGAAGTTTATGAGCATAAAAAATAAAATAGTTCATTAATCGTAAAAGAAATAATTGATAGGTGTGAATAACTCTTCCTCAAGATATGTTTTAAATTGTTCATTAAAATTATTTTATTACATAATTATTATAAAATGATTTTATTACATAAGAAGGAGAACTAAAAACGCTTAAGAAAAATGTTATTTATACATCAAACAGAAACAAAATGTCTTATGAATGAGACATACTCTACAAATAGGCTGGTTTCAGGTAAGACAAGAAAATTTTTTTTATCAGAAATATCTAATTTTGTTCTAATTGTAATAAAATATGAAAGGCACTAGACCAGAACAACATAGAAGTCATACTCAATATCAAAAAGGCACTAAAATTATAAGTTTTTATTTAAGTGAGAGAATGATAGCATAGTGTGTAAGAATAATTTTAATGAATACATTAAATTATCTATCATAAATATATACACTTAGATTATATACATTAATGTATAGATATTTTATAAAGAACAAATATATCTTTCGTAACTAGTCTTTAAAACCATTAGAATCAACTGCAAAAGAATGCGTCATTTTCTGACTACGAAGAAATGAGAAAATATTGTTGGCTTTAAATTTATACTCATAAATAAAATTAAAATAACAGTAAATGCCAAGGATCTGAATTACTATTAGTGAAGGAGTAATAAGAATTCTACGTTTCAAACTTATTAGCTAAATAAAAAACCCATTTGAAGACCAAAAAATTAACTTAATACATAGAAACAAAGCTACAAGTGTTAATTTTAAAAGATAAAAATTTAACAAGAAGAGTATAGCAGGGTTGATTGTGCTCCGGAAAAAATCCGGTTTTCCGGATTTTTCACTAACCGTGATCCGGAAGTTTCCAGAGATCGAAGGTTCAGATGTTTCAAAAAATCATTGATCACAAAAGTTTTCGGAAATCAAATTTTCAAAGGTGGAACTTATAAACACAGTTTATTTTATTTGTTTGTTAGGAAAAGCCAGAGATACTTTATAATACATATCCAAGATTCATATTCAAGATTAATATTCACTTTTTATCAATAAATAGTTATTATAATCATAAACTCAGGAAACACATATTTGTAAATTTCAATTACTTCTCCAGGTCATCATAGGTATGCGTAAAATTTTAAGTAAACTAAGAAATATTGAGAAAAAGAAAAAAACCTTAATTTTTTTCCTAATTTTTCGATTTAAACTTTTTTTTTCTTTTTTACTCAAGAAATTTTCCGGAATTTTGACTTGGGCTCACAATCACCCCTGGTAAGGTACTTCAGTGAGAAATAATGATTTTTGTATTCATAGGTGGTAAGAGTTGGGAGTGTGAGAATGAACTTTCATAGGAGTTTTTTGCATTTAAAAATGTTTATTTCAAATAATACTTCAAACTTATCAGATAATATAATAAAAACATCTTTTAATTATATATAAAACACATAAGTTATTCATTTTTCTAAAGAAAAAACTAAAATATCCTTCATTTCAGCCAATAAGCAGAGCCTGACTAAGGCAGGAGCATACAGGGCAGTTGCCCCGGGCCCCACATTAGAGGGGGCCCCCAATACGAATAAAAAGTTCATTTCAGGTTTCCTTCTGTAATGAACTTTTTTTTTAAACATAATAAAATCCCTCGGTTTTATGTTAGCATTGTATGAACACAAAAAATCTATATTACGTAAATCCATGGCATTCTAAGGTGGAATTCAGCTAAACTTTCGCAATTACAATGGACACGCTTGGCCAATCCAAAGCCTGTATTTTTACATATCACAAAGTGCGATATGTTTACAAAATACAGGCTTCTGATTAGCCTAATTAAGCCACCATAATTGCAAAAAGTTAGCTAAATTTCACCATAATGTCAGCAAGGATATGGGTTTTCCGCAGCTGGGTGACAAAATTAACAATCAGAAAATTACATTCGGCTTGATGGACATAGAATTGTCAGAAAATTAATAAAATGGACAGGACAATATTTTGGGGGGGGGATGACCATTGGGGGGGGGTTATAGCTATTTCAGGTTCTAGTTAATTTTCATGCTATATATGTATAATGAGGTGAAAAATTTAAATACCTCCATAAAATTTAGTTCTTCATTACTGAAGCAGAGGCGGCTCCAATTAGGCTAAGTCCGGCCCTGCCAATAAGCAGAGAATTAGCAGAATTTTATAACATATATTGCAACTGGGGCCCGTGACTGATTTATCATAAGGCCCCAGCCTAAGGCCTCCACATTTCTGGCGGGATTCAAATAATTTCATTTCATATAATTCTATTTCAAAAAAATTTTCTTGACTTTTTTCTAAATAATTGTGTATAAGAATTATGAGTTAACAAAAATTACAATAAATATAAGCTGTAATTCGCTAATATATCGTAATTTACTCATATAATTTTTAAGACACTTTATAAATAAACAACGAGTGCATTTTGCTTAAAGGTAATGACCAGGGCCCCCGCAATTCTAGCCTGCCTGGGGCTACTAATTTCAAAATTCTAAATCATCATTAATACATCAAATAATTTTTAAAGCAATGGATTAATTTTAAATAACTTAAACTTAATTGGGAGTTAAAGGCAATGTATATATTTTATTTNATACTTATCATACTTTTCTCGTTTCGTTTTGTCACCCAAAACTTCATAAGCTTCAGAAATGTCTTTAAACTTAGATTCAGCTTCAGGAGACTTGTTTTTGTCAGGATGGTACTTTAAGGCCAGCTTTCGATATGCCTTTTTAATGTCATCATCAGTGGCCTTTTCTGACACACCTAATACATCATAGAATTTTTTTCCCATCACAAAAGTAACTTCACCTAAAAAGCATTATAATTTTATATATAAATAATTATAATTTTATATACATTATATAATATAAATAAAATGCAAAATACTGCATTTTTACAAACATTATAAAGAAAGAGAAATCAAATGAATCTTGAAAGGAAATATACTTACATTAAATAAATTTTAATTATGTATTTGATAAATACTGGTCATGTTTACATCATTTTTTAGATTAGTTATTAGCTATAAAAGCAATAGTAGAGATTTTTAATATTTTTATATAAAAACGAAATAGTAAAACCTGAAGAAAAGTTTTTAAAATGACTTTCTTTTGATTACCTATGCATTTTATCAATAAATGAAATCAAAGATTGACAACTTGTCAAATATTTTTAATTCCTGCTTTAACTTACTAAACTATTATATTCTTTTCTCTATGTATCTATAATATTTTGTAATTTTTATAAACAATTTTTACAAATAAAAATTAGTAACTCCTTAAAATTTAGATTAAAGTTGGATTATATTAATTGAATTTTATTTCAAATGATTCGAAGTTTATGAGCATAAAAAATAAAATAGTTCATTAATCGTAAAAGAAATAATTGATAGGTGTGAATAACTCTTCCTCAAGATATGTTTTAAATTGTTCATTAAAATTATTTTATTACATAATTATTATAAAATGATTTTATTACATAAGAAGGAGAACTAAAAACGCTTAAGAAAAATGTTATTTATACATCAAACAGAAACAAAATGTCTTATGAATGAGACATACTCTACAAATAGGCTGGTTTCAGGTAAGACAAGAAAATTTTTTTTATCAGAAATATCTAATTTTGTTCTAATTGTAATAAAATATGAAAGGCACTAGACCAGAACAACATAGAAGTCATACTCAATATCAAAAAGGCACTAAAATTATAAGTTTTTATTTAAGTGAGAGAATGATAGCATAGTGTGTAAGAATAATTTTAATGAATACATTAAATTATCTATCATAAATATATACACTTAGATTATATACATTAATGTATAGATATTTTATAAAAAACAAATATATCTTTCGTAACTAGTCTTTAAAACCATTAGAATCAACTGCAAAAGAATGCGTCATTTTCTGACTACGAAGAAATGAGAAAATATTGTTGGCTTTAAATTTATACTCATAAATAAAATTAAAATAACAATAAATGCCAAGGATCTGAATCACTATGAGTGAAGGAGTAATAAGAATTATAAGTTTCAAACTTATTAGCTACATAAAAAACCCATTTGAAGACCAAAAAATTAACTTAATACATAGAAACAAAGCTACAAGTGTTAATTTTAAAAGATAAAAATTTAACAAGAGAAGTATAGGTACTTCAGTAAGAAATAATGGTTTTTGTATTCATAGGTGGTAAGAGTTGGGAGTGCGGGAATGAACTTTCATAGGAGTTTTTTGCATTTAAAAATGTTTATTTTAAATAATACTTCAAACTTATCAGATAATATAATTAAAACATCTTTTCATTATATATAAATATAAAACACATAAGTTATTCATTTTTCTATAGAAAAAACTAAAATATCCTTCATTTCAGCTAATAAGCAGAGAATTTCATAACATATAATGCAACTGGGGCCAGTGACTGATTTATCATGAGGCCCTGGCCTAAGGCCTCTACATTTCTAATATCATTTTAAATAATTTCTTGACTTTTACTAAACTAAGAATTATGAGTATCTAAGAATTATGAGTTAACAAAAAGGGCAATAAACACAAGTTGTAATTCGCTAATATATCGTAATTTACTCATATTATTTTAAAGACACTTTGTAAATAAACAACGAGTACATTTTGCTTAAAGGTAATGACCAGGGCCCCCGCATTTCTAGCCTGCCTGGGGCTACTAATTTCAAAATTCTAAATCATCATTAATACATCAAATAATTTTTAAAGCAATGGATTAATTTTAAATAACTTAAACTTAATTGGAAGTTAAAGGCAATGTATATATACTTTTTGCAGTTTATGATTCAATAAAAAATTTCTATCACAATATGTAAACAAAAGAAAGTTCAGAAAATTTTCACCAACTTGAAAGATTTTAAAGAAAAAGAGTTATCACATCCGATATTTTCTTCAAAACCCTTTAATTTTAAATCCCTAAAAATAATCAATATTGGTAGGTAAGATTAAAAATCGATGTTAAAATATATTGTAACAACATTCCAACTATCGAGATGAAAAATTTTAGAGCAATTTAAAAATTACAGTTACAATCCCCAGCATTAATTGTTATTAAAATTTTAAAAAAGTGGAATAAAAAAATTCAAAATCTAAATAAAGAATCAATAAAAGTCACAAAGAATTAAAGAAACCCAAGAAAAAAAAATCCGAATTCTACGATTAAATTTAAATCGTCAGGTGTCGAAATGACATCGTCCTGCGTTCTAGTGTTAAAGCCTCAACTATTGGTAAAATACCAATAAGTTTGTCGCGGGGGAAAAAAACTCAAATTCGAGGAAAAATAGCGGGAAATTTTGAAAATTACACAAATTCTAAACATACAAAAATTTATTATATATATGAATTTGAATTTAAACTCTTACTTTTGATTTATTTAATTTTCTAAATTTTTTTTATTTTTAATTAAAAAATACGCTCTAATAATTTTAATTTAAAAAAATTTTTTGAAAATTTAATAAAACTAAATAAATTTAGTTAAAAATTTAATAAAACTAAATAAATATATTTAAAAAATTTCTCTTAAAATTTATTAGGATAAAACAGGATCCGCTTTAGGATCCATGGGATAAAAAGACGCGATCGCAATTCGATTTTTCTCCTTATGAGTAATTAAGAAATACAAATTTTTCGCAACTGTAGCTCGGTGCTTTTGGGGAGTTTTAAATCGTTCTTGTTTTTTATAAAGATCGCATAAACCAAAAAGACAAAACTGAAAATAGTTGTCTTCATTTAAATGTGCATTGTCTGATGAATGCTTCAGGTTATGCGAACATGCCGAAATCCTTGTTTTCCATTTTGGAAAACAAGGTAAATAAGAAGGATTTTTATAAGTCTCCGTTAACTTTGAATCTAGGTAAAAAAAGTTATTTTGAAGGGATTCAAACAAGTTTTTTTGGTCAAAAAATTGTTTTATTATTACTTCGTTTTCATCGAATTGGTTTTCCCTTTTTTCCATACGGTATATCTTTAAAAAGGAAAACAAAATGAAATCGAAGTAATACTTAGATAGGGCATTAATTGGATAATTTTCGCGAAAATCAAATTTAGAAAAGGTTTTTGCGCGAAAAATTTGCATTTCTTTAAAAATCAATTTGCGATCGCCATTAGTAAATTCATTACTTTTAAAATTAGTCTCAACTTTTGCACGACTCGAATATTTCACACAATTTACGTAAAATATTCGAGTTATCATAGTAATAGTTTGGAATAAAAGTTATAATAAATTAAATTATATTTTAGAAGAGCGTATTTTAAAGTTAAAAATAAAAAAAAAATATTGAATTAGAAATCGAGTAAATATTTACCGATTGCTCTCCAAAAGAGAATGGAGTTGAGGAAAGTTCAGAATTGTTTTTTTTTTTTTTTTTTTTTTTTTTTTTTTTTTTTTTTTTTNTTTTTGGTCAGTTAAGATGGTATTTATACAAAACCGCGATTCATTTGCTGCTAAGAAGAGCCTGTGCGATATTGAAGTAGTGTCGGATTCTTTGGGGAGTAAAGAGATTGGAGTTCATTCAACATGGGAGGTCCATTGCTGCTCGGAGGCCAGAGTTATAAGTTGTTTCAACTACTCGGAGATGTGTATGCAGAAAAGATGTTTGGGCTTCCATACTCTAACGTACTTCTGATTACAGTATTTACAATCTGAATGAGGTGATAGGTTCGGGATCCCCAATGAATTTCAAAGAACAAGGTTCGAATAAAAAGAACGGCGAGTCAGAAATCACAAGTTCGAAAAACGAGGAAGAAAGACTAAATTGGATTCGAAAGGGTTTTTCTTTCTTTCTTGACCTTTTATTTCGATCATTTGAAAACAATTTAAAAACAAAATTAACATATTAATACCCAGATTAAAATTTTTGCTGGAATTTGTTTGCTAGACAAGCATATAATGCTATGTACCAGCATATACTACCATAAATCTTTGCTGGTTCCAGCATAATTACTAGCATTCCATACCATGAATTGGCACACTTTATTGCTGGTCCAGCATACAGAAACCAACTTGTGTTGCTTGAATATCTTGCTGGTCCAGCATAATAAACCAGCTTGTGTTGCTTAAATATCTTGCTGGTCCAGCATACATTAACCAACTTGTGTTGCTTGAATATCTTGCTGGTCTAGCAACAATCAAGACCACAACTTGCTTGTTTTTTATGCTTTACTAGCAATAATTCCATAGCAACAGATGCTTTTTTTATTGCTATTCCAAGCATAATTCTCTACCAACAGTTGCTTGAATATCTTGCTGGTCTAGCAACAATCAAGACCACAACTTGCTTGTTTTTTATGCTTTACTAGCAATAATTCCATAGCAACAGATGCTTTTTTTATTGCTATTCCAAGCATAATTCTCTACCAACAGTTGCTTGAATATCTTGCTGGTCTAGCAACAATCAAGACCACAACTTGCTTGTTTTTTATGCTTTACTAGCAATAATTCCATAGCAACAGATGCTTTTTTTATTGCTATTCCAAGCATAATTCTCTACCAACAGTTGCTTGAATATCTTGCTGGTCTAGCAACAATCAAGACCACAACTTGCTTGTTTTTTATGCTTTACTAGCAATAATTCCATAGCAACAGATGCTTTTTTTATTGCTATTCCAAGCATAATTCTCTACCAACAGTTGCTTGAATATCTTGCTGGTCTAGCAACAATCAAGACCACAACTTGCTTGTTTTTTATGCTTTACTAGCAATAATTCCATAGCAACAGATGCTTTTTTTATTGCTATTCCAAGCATAATTCTCTACCAACAGTTGCTTGAATATCTTGCTGGTCTAGCAACAATCAAGACCACAACTTGCTTGTTTTTTATGCTTTACTAGCAATAATTCCATAGCAACAGATGCTTTTTTTATTGCTATTCCAAGCATAATTCTCTACCAACAGTTGCTTGAATATCTTGCTGGTCTAGCAACAATCAAGACCACAACTTGCTTGTTTTTTATGCTTTACTAGCAATAATTCCATAGCAACAGATGCTTTTTTTATTGCTATTCCAAGCATAATTCTCTACCAACAGTTGCTTGAATATCTTGCTGGTCTAGCAACAATCAAGACCACAACTTGCTTGTTTTTTATGCTTTACTAGCAATAATTCCATAGCAACAGATGCTTTTTTTATTGCTATTCCAAGCATAATTCTCTACCAACAGTTGCTTGAATATCTTGCTGGTCTAGCAACAATCAAGACCACAACTTGCTTGTTTTTTATGCTTTACTAGCAATAATTCCATAGCAACAGATGCTTTTTTTATTGCTATTCCAAGCATAATTCTCTACCAACAGTTGCTTGAATATCTTGCTGGTCTAGCAACAATCAAGACCACAACTTGCTTGTTTTTTATGCTTTACTAGCAATAATTCCATAGCAACAGATGCTTTTTTTATTGCTATTCCAAGCATAATTCTCTACCAACAGTTGCTTGAATATCTTGCTGGTCTAGCAACAATCAAGACCACAACTTGCTTGTTTTTTATGCTTTACTAGCAATAATTCCATAGCAACAGATGCTTTTTTTATTGCTATTCCAAGCATAATTCTCTACCAACAGTTGCTTGAATATCTTGCTGGTCTAGCAACAATCAAGACCACAACTTGCTTGTTTTTTATGCTTTACTAGCAATAATTCCATAGCAACAGATGCTTTTTTTATTGCTATTCCAAGCATAATTCTCTACCAACAGTTGCTTGAATATCTTGCTGGTCTAGCAACAATCAAGACCACAACTTGCTTGTTTTTTATGCTTTACTAGCAATAATTCCATAGCAACAGATGCTTTTTTTATTGCTATTCCAAGCATAATTCTCTACCAACAGTTGCTTGAATATCTTGCTGGTCTAGCAACAATCAAGACCACAACTTGCTTGTTTTTTATGCTTTACTAGCAATAATTCCATAGCAACAGATGCTTTTTTTATTGCTATTCCAAGCATAATTCTCTACCAACAGTTGCTTGAATATCTTGCTGGTCTAGCAACAATCAAGACCACAACTTGCTTGTTTTTTATGCTTTACTAGCAATAATTCCATAGCAACAGATGCTTTTTTTATTGCTATTCCAAGCATAATTCTCTACCAACAGTTGCTTGAATATCTTGCTGGTCTAGCAACAATCAAGACCACAACTTGCTTGTTTTTTATGCTTTACTAGCAATAATTCCATAGCAACAGATGCTTTTTTTATTGCTATTCCAAGCATAATTCTCTACCAACAGTTGCTTGAATATCTTGCTGGTCTAGCAACAATCAAGACCACAACTTGCTTGTTTTTTATGCTTTACTAGCAATAATTCCATAGCAACAGATGCTTTTTTTATTGCTATTCCAAGCATAATTCTCTACCAACAGTTGCTTGAATATCTTGCTGGTCTAGCAACAATCAAGACCACAACTTGCTTGTTTTTTATGCTTTACTAGCAATAATTCCATAGCAACAGATGCTTTTTTTANTAATTTATCAACATCTGCAACTTCAGCGGATAATAAAAACTCACTATTCAAGGGAAGTTTCTGCCGTATATAGTTGCAGACAGCAATATAATAATTTTTTATATTACTATAGAAGAGTTGCTTAAGACTGATATTAACTTGGAAGCAACACTACCAATTATAATATCATCATCCAATTTATGATTCTTCTCTGACACTAAGTTAATGTCCATCAGGGAAGAACCTTTAATAATGTCTGCTCTTATAAATTTTGAGACAAAATCTTTTAATAAACCTAATAATAAAGAATTCAAAATATGAATTTTTGGCTCATTAGATTATAAGGTAATTAAGCTTCTTTCAAAAACTGGGATGATATAATTTAGAAACAAACAATAAGCTTTACAGATATCTGATGAAAGAAATAGAAGCATTTGTTCTTCCCTAGTCAAAACAGATTCCTGTTTAGAAGATTTCGGTGAAGAATTTTTAGAACAATTACCAGTTTTTAATTTCTTTGCAGGATTTCCCATTTCTGATTTTTGTTCAGAAGTTTTTAATGAACTATTAGAGAAATTACCTACCTTCAATTTCTTCACAGATTTTTCTATTTCTAAAGGCCTTTTCTTTTTAAGGTATCTCACTAGTTGCGACAACTTTTTTTTGAAATAATGTTAGAAAGTTATTTTTATATAAATTTTTTGTTTAGTTTTGTGCAAAAACTTAAAGAAATGATGATAAATTTAAATTTATTTATTTATTTTTTAAAAAAATGCCATTTTTGCACAAAAATTTAGAGTGATTCGATCATTGCGGCAGACACCCTGAAATAAATTCTATTGAAACAAATTAAAAAATCTTTTGGAATGTTATTCTGAAGATAACTAACTATGCTTTGAACTATTATCTTTTCATAATTTACACTTATAACTAAATTAGGTCACAAAAAAGTCACAAAATGGTATTTTTTAAAAAATTGACTATTAGCTAGGAAAAACCTATATAAAAAATGAAAATGCCAACAGATTTCTTATTCTTTAGTTCAAAGCATGTAGGGTACTATACTATGCATTGTTGAAAAAATTTAGATAATTATCTAAAGAACTTTTTGAGATATCATGTTTAAGGTGGCACAAGATATGCAAAGAAATTATTTCTCAGAAAACACATTTGAAGATTGAAAATGTTTATTAACAAAAATTATATGAATTCAGATACTTGAAATCACTCATTATCAAAAAAACAAACCTTTCTTTGAAACATATCAATGTTTTGTGTTCAAATAACAAATATTTTATTAATTTCATTTAATGTTCATTAGACCAAAAAACATTTTTTTTAATGCCGAGAGATGCAAGTATTTTTAAATACACATATTACACAATTGAAAAGCAACATATATATACATTTTTAATAGCTGCATATATGTAGTAATTTAAGCATTTAAAAATATATGGTTTCAATTATATATCATAATAAAATTTAGGACTATATAAACCAGAACACAATTCAAATAATAAAGAAAAATCACTTGATTCACTAAATTTCATCATATAGGTTAAAAAAATAATAATAATATATAAACAACAATTAAAAATAATACAAAGACACCTTAAAACCCTCCATAGGAATACACTAAACCCTCTTTTTTTTCATCGCTAGAAAATTTTGCTTTGCGATTCGCTTTTCTTTTTTTTCGAGATAATTTTGTCGAAGCTGAAGAATGTCGTTTTGAAGTTGAGATGCGTATTGTGTCAAAACTTACAAACTCCTTCAAAACGCTTTCATGGACCGGATATGCAGTATTTTGTAACACGGATAACAAACCACAATATCCTGAATTAAAAATTATAACCGACAGCAATGCACCTAAGCGAAAAGTTTCAAGT